TTGCTCAGGCTGGTTTTGAACTCCTGAGCTCAAACAATCCGCCCGCCTCGGCCTCCCAGAGTGCTAGGATTACAGGCGTGAGCCACCGCGCCCGGCCTCCAAGTGGTCTCTTGATGGGAGCAAAAACAGGCCGATGAGAGGGGGACGGTGTTCTCTAGAGCGACGTCGTGCCCCCGCGAGCTCCTTTAAAAGGCCGTGTTGAGTGTGGGCTGGGCTGCCTGCTACTGTGTGCCGTGACCGGGGTGGGACACAGGAGGCTACTGAGAAGGCCCCGTGGGGCGGATATTCACCCCTGCTGGGGCCGAGGGGCTGCTTTTTCTGCTCTCCCACCCCTCACCAGCCCCTCAGCCTAATGAATCCATCCAGACCTGCCCCTGGTCCCGTCCCAGGAGCAGCAAAGTCACCTCTGCCCTGGTCCCAGGCCCTGCCCTCGCCCCCCACGGTCTGTCCTTCCCACAGCAGCCAGAGGGCACCTGTGAGCACCTGAGTCAGAGCCCATCCCTCCTCTGCCCACAGCCCTCCATGGCTCCCACCTCCCTCAGGGTCAAAGCCCAAGTCCTACCTCGTCCCCTCCCTGCCCTCTCCCCCTCCTCACTCTGCTCCAGCCACACAGGCATCCTCGCTGTGCCTCCAACACGCCAGGCACGGTCCTGCCCCAGAGCCTTTGCACGGGCTGTGCCCTGTGCCTGAACACTCTTCTCCAGATGTCCCCACAGCTCACCCCCTTCAGTTTTCAGTTCAGATGTCACCTGCTCATCCCGCCTGACTAACAGCACTCCACGCTCCTCGTTTTGCCCATAGCACTTCCGAGCTCCTAAATCCCATATCATCAGCATGTGGATTGTTTATGTGTATCTGCTTGAGGGCTGGGATATATCCTGGCTATTACATTCTCTGGTCCCAACCCCGGCGCCCAGCCTAGGATCTCAGCAGGGCTGGCTAACTATGTGTGGAATGAATGGATGGATAAACAAATGAATGAGTGGATCTCCAGATCGGCCAAAGACGGAGCTTCGGAGGTGGGGCCTGAGAACCGCTTGGGGATGGCCCTGCAGCCTGGCAGTGCAAGCCCCGATTCCTGGGGGGGCCTCTGGGCGGGAGTCGGGGGGCCTACTCGCTCTCCTCCTATTAGATGATGGTGGGGAAGGCAGAGGAGAGACGCCCTCCATCTCCGAGAACCTCGGAGTCAAGACTCGGGATTCATTTAACAAGCACAGTCGCGCCGCTTAGTGACATTTCGGTCAACGACAGACTGTGTGTGATGCGGTCCCATCAGAGTAGAATACCGTATTCTCCCTGTCCCTTTTCTACGTGTCGATGTGTTGCAGACACAGATACTTACGCTGTCGCCGTTGCCTACAGCCCTCAGTACAGGGACGCGCCGTGCAGGTGTGTGGCCCCGAGCGCTAGGCGCAGCGCACAGTCTGGGTGTGTGTGAGCGCACGCTGCGATGTTTGCGCCACGACGAAATCGCCTAGCGACGCATCTCCCAGAACACGTCCCGTGGTGAAGCGAACGCCAGGTATCTGCTCAGCGGGAGTCACGTGCAAAGGAGACCAACGAGACCCCGCCTTCCCGGAGCCCAGAGTCTGGCCCGGAGGGGGGAATAGTAAAAATGAGCAACCGAGTAGCAGACAAGAGCCCAGTCGCTCCTCTGCTCCTACCCCGCCGCCATCCCCAGGGCACCCGCCTGGTTTCTCACTTCTCCCTCCAGAACCCTACTTGGGAGACGGAGCCAGGGTGGCCCGAGAGACAGGGAGGGGCCCTGGAGCGGGGACCAGAAGCAGCCAGCCTTCCAGGCAGAGGCACAGCTCGTGCAAAGGCCCTGAGGGTGGAGCAAGCTGGCTGCACCCCCATAAAGGCCAGAGTACCAGTGTGGTGGGTTGGGGTGACCATGAATTAGGGGAGCCCAGAATGCCTCGGGGCACCGTGTCATTGTGCCCACAGGGTCCCCGGCAGGGAGGAAGCGGATGCGAGGAGTACACTGAGGGTG